ATTTATCTCTTAAGCACAGAGTCACCATTCAGAGGGACACATCGAAGCTTCTTCCCATCTGGGCTTCTGTAGCCTGGTAGAAGTGAACACATTGTGCTAAACAGTGGGGTTCTATCAGAGGAAACAAATCTGGCCACCACTTCCTTCTTGTTGATGGATGCTGATGGATCCTGAATTTCCTTAGGAATCAAGAGCATCCCTCTCTCTTATACCACATCATAAGCAAGCTCAGTACTTCCTGCCCTCCTTCCAGCTCATGGCTCCTTTGTATTATGTTGGCATGAGGGTGCAGAGGTGTCACCTTCTGAGGGTTATTAAGGGGCTAAACAGAGAGGTCCATTCCATTTGCTTGGGGCAACCTTATTGTCTTCTTGCTTCCCAATTTGCTTCTTCCACAGCAGTCTCCCTTGTCCCATGATGAACACTAGGATGTGTTCAGCTCTGTTTCTCCACGGCTGGCACCATGCTCTTGCTCAGGCTTCACACCTTTAGAGCTTTCTTTGGGATCTTTCCTGCAACTCTAATGTTCCAAAATCACTTGCTTCACAAACATGATTGGCACTTCAGGCCCCATGAGATCTCACACTGCCACTAATTCCATAGGCCCTAAAAGAAACTTTCCAGAATCCCTGCCCACCTATAATTTTTTTTGGCTTTGACTTTTCATATTGCCCTCTCCCCTCTACAGCCTAGGTCCCTTCTCCTTCTGTCACTCTTCTGGGTCTTTCCCCATGCTCTGATTGTGGGAGAAAACTTTCTTCTTTGGATCCACAAAGTGCTGTCTTATTAACACTACATTTCTCTACTTATATGAATAGGGTGTCTGTGCTTTAGCCCAAGCTGGTCCCTCGACTTGGGGACTTGCTCCTATCCCTTACCTTTTTCCGCTCCACAAGGCTTTTTCAGTAGTTCTTCTCTTGCTTTCCTGCATCATTAATTTATCCCTCTCAACTAGATCTTTTCTATAAACATTTATCCTCTTTGTATCCAGACTTTTGAAGACACCCTCTTCATACTGTTGCCCCATATTTTTGCACCTTTATTTGAAAAAAACTCCTGGAGGGAATTGATGACACTTGCTTTCAAGACAGTTAGGAATCACTACTATAGGGGAAAGGCTGGCACCACACAGTAGACGCCTGGGTGCATAAACTGATGCCCTTTGTAGCATGGCATGTTGCTCATGTGCCCCTTTCAACAGACTCATCGTGAAACTCTGGTAAACCACAGAAGCAGAATGCTTACACAAAATGAAGCAATTGTTACTGAAGTGGGAGGAACCCAAATAAACCTTCTAGCTTCACTTGCCTGGTACCAGGGAGTGAACTCAGGACCTTGCACTTGTGAGGCAGGTGTGGCACCACTGAGCTAAATCCCCAGCCCTTTTACTTGTTCTTAGTAGACTTAAAAATTACTAATTTTGGAGGTCACACATTTGGGCAATATACCATTAGTTTCCCACTGGTATGCTGCAAATAATAACTCCTGAAGTGTGGGTTATGCTAATAGTTGCCTAGGTTACTTTGTAGAAACTTGAAGACCACTTTTGCTGAAAACACTGACTCTTCACTCAAGCCTACAGATATATGATGGTGACTAAAATGGAATAAAAGTTTGGCATCTCTGTCTTCATTGTCGTGTCTGTCCTTGTGCCAGGTGATCTTATTAATGTGAGTGGATTAAGAGACTCCTGGAGAGGTGATCAGATCATGGAGTGCTATACTCAGTGGACCAATCCACTGATGTTCATTTCTGAATGTGCTCTTAGGGGGGGCAGTTGGAGGTGGGTCGCTGGGGGTGTGCCTTCAGAGGGTATATTTCTTCATGGTACCATTCCCCTGCTGTACTTCCTGGTCACTGCTATGTCCTCCCACCATGAAGCTCCTGCCTGAAGCCAGCTGACCCTAGACTGAAACCCCTGAATATGAGCCAAATTAAATCTCTCTTCTTTTAAATTTTAGGTGTCAGGTATTTGGTCCCAGCAGTAGGAAATATAGTTTCCTTCGCTGTCTTAATCCTTGACTCAGCTCTGGACATAGACATGTTGATGATTTAAAAATGTTTAGTCCAAGATATAATACAGGGTTAACTTGGCTTATTGCCTGTTGGAACTGGTATTTTCTTTTACCTTCTCTCTCCCTTCTTTTTTCCCCCCTAACCCTGTGCTTTTCCAGCAGCTAAAACAGCCCATGTATCTAAAGCCTGGAGCAAATCATGAGGCTGGAGTGTTTACATAGGCTGACAGCTCCAGTTACAAGAGTAACTCGGCAATTCTTAGGATAAGATGACCATGGCTACCTGGTGGTCTAAATCTTCCAAGAAGGAGACATCTTTAGGAAACATGTCCCTGGCTAGTGGAAATTTACTGGATTTTTAGCCTACCCCAGTAAATCCATAAAAACTCACACTTTCTTTGTCCCGGGAGCACCCTGATCCCCCCTTTTCTCAGTCTGTGCTGACTTGCTTCAGCTGAAGTCTCCACCTTCCCTCCCTCCCATTAAATATTGCCTGTGTATGTTGTTGAAATACTTGGTTTAGTCTCATTTCTACAATCTCTGAATCAAGAATCCCATTTGGTGTTGTTATCACTAATTACTTTCCTTCCATTCTCTTTTGAATCCACTCCACTTATGCCTTCATCTGAATCACACACCTGAGACTGTTCTTCTCAAAGTCATAATTTTTTTGCAGCTAAATCTGATGGTCCTCATCTTACTTGGCTAGTTGACAACTTCTCATGCAGTTAATCACTTTGTCCTTAAAAAAACTTTCTGTTTTTGTTTGCCATTACACCACACTCTTGGTTTTCTTGCTACCTCATAGGCTATTCGTTTTAAGTCTCCACTACTTAGTTTTCCTCCTGTATTTTCCAATTTCTTAAAGTACCCTAGGGCCCAATCCTTAGATTTCTTTTTCATTTTCACACTTAGTCCCTTGGTGATCTTAGCTGGTAGGCCGTATTTTATATATGTTTTATGTACATGTCTTTATCTCTCTGTGTCTACCTATGTCTGTTATATGTAGTCAGGACTCTCCCTGAGGATATCATGTTTCTGTATCAAGCACAGACCATTGGGAGTATGATCTCAGGATGAAACACAGAGTTATGATGCTACTACTGCAGTCATGATAGCTGTGAAGGGTGTGAGCAGTGGTCATAGTTTGGGTGAAGTTTTGAAGGCAGAGACAACAGATTTGCTAATGGATATAGACTATTAGGGGGGAAAGGTCAAATTCAGGTCTGCATTTTTGGATAGTTTGAGATGAATGTTGGCTTCTAAGTGTACATATTGATTAGACAGTTTGGGCATATGAGAACATCTACTTCATGAAATTAGCTGCTCCATTGTGGCTGGGCCTGTGTCTTGTTCATTGTTATGTTTTGCATAGTATTGGCATATAGTAACTACTCAAATATTTAATTGTTCAGTGCAAGATGCTTCCCAAGTTCATTTCATTGTGACCCATATCTGGGGACCACCCCATCAGCTGACTATTCTTCTCCTTTGTCAGGGTCCCACACTTCATAGCACTCACGATACTGATGCAATGCATTATTTAGACTGCTTGCAATTAAACACCATTAAACCAAAATTCTAGAGGTCAAGGAATCCCTGAATTAAGATCTTACCTGATTGATAGTGGTTTATCAAGTCATTACACATACTAGCCAGAAAAAGAAAGAACAAGTTCCTGGGACACATTTTCATAACTTCTAGCAGGAGGGCTGATGACAGTTGGAAAATGGCCGCTGGAACACAACTTAAGTGCACTGTTCTGTAAACATTGAGAAAGAAAATACTCCAATGTAACTGGCTGAGAGAGGTGGGATAATGTGAAGCAGGCAGTGTTTTGGGATAAGAGGGTAGTCTATAAGGAGAAGTACTTGTTTCTTCTAGACTGATTGGGGCTAAAAAGTTCCCAAACTTTGTATGTAAACAGGGCATGGTGATGATGGGATTTAAATCAAGATTCAACATTAACAGTCATTTTGTTGATTTAGTCTGTAGCTGATAACATTTATTTTCCTTATCTCTTCTTTACTCCAACCTCAGTTTTTGTAATTAGGACATCTTAGAATTTTTCTTTTATGACCACTATTCTTGGCCCTGGAGATATGAGACATGCAAAAGAATTTTGTGGCAGTGGGTGGTATTGATAAAGAAATAATGCACAACGGGGCAGGCCTTTGTTGCCAAGCCTGTTTTGCCATAGGATGTTCTGTTCAACTAATGTGACAATTTGTGCTGCAAAGCAGTGTAATTGTTTGTGACCCTCTATGTTTGTACCTAAGGTTTTAAGAATGTTCTGTTAACTCCGCCCATCTGCCTCAATGAGCATACTTGCCCTGTAGGTTAGCTCACTCCCCTACTGCAAGATCTCTATGTAAGGCTGTTCGCATTGCTATTCGGGGCTCAGACTTCGGAGTATGAACTCCTCTGTGTCCACCAGCATAATAAAGAATCCCTCCATCTTTCTGAGTGCCACTTGACTTCTTAGCTGCCAGAGACCATAACACTTGGCTGTAATATAGTATAGAGCTGTAACACTTGGCTGTAATGCTCAGCTGTTGTACTTTGCTGTAACAGTATATGTTTAGAATTCAATTCCTATCTTTACACAAAGGAACTTCCTTATCATATTCCTTTATCTACAACCCAGTGTGAGCTGTGAGCTGTGAAATGCTGACCTATGTGAATGACTCGATTAAAACTTCTTCTATGGGGGCCAGGGATTTAGCTCAGTGGTTCTGGCGCCTGCCTCGCAAGCGTAAGGTCCCGAGTTCGATCCCCGGTACCTCCCCCCCCCAAAAAAAAACCCAAACAAAAACTTCTTCTATGGGCAGAGCTGACTTTTTAGCCTCATCCAGCCCTCCTTTTAACAAAGTACAATGGGGATAAGGAGGACGCAGATAGCTCTTTGTTTAGAGATAAAGAGTATATTTCAGGTGGCAGCGTGTCCCACCTGTTTATTAATGGAAATTACAATAGTAGAGTTCTTCAAAGGATGCAGAAATTGGGAAGCCTAGAAACTCTTAGTCAAACCCCTGGGTGTTCTCCTTGGGTAAGAAAATGTTTCTGAGCTGAGGGACGGGAGCGAGGGTAGGTTCCCTGATTGGGTGGTACAGCCACTCCAGGACAATGTCTAGGACAGTGGCAGGGGTGGCCTGAGATGGAGACAGATCCATGTAGTTGGGAGCATAGCTGCAGCTTATTGTGTGGGGAATGGAAAGCATCTAATGAGTCCAGGCTCACTGGCCTCTCTGTAGGAAGTGACTGGGTCTTGGTGTGCCAATTTTAGCTTTCTCCATGAGGCTTTTGGCTGGAGCCAGGCTCTTTTCAACATTTTCTTTTACAGTTTTGGCCACATTCCCAGGTGTAGAGAAGATGGGGTCCACATGCCCTTTGGCTTTTGTCATGGCACTGATATAGTGCGGAAAGGATTTCATCTTATTTATGAAGCCAGAATCTGGAAGGCTGGGCCTCTGGTGAGAATGGGCTGGCATCTTCTGCCCCTGAAAAACCTGGCCTTGCAAAATTTGGCCCTTCCAATGCTTATGCTGAGTTGCTTGGCCCAGGAAAGTCTGGCCCTGTGACGGTTGGGCCATTGCAGGATGAAAACTCTCAGGGATCTTTGCAGGTTTGAGAAGGACATTTAACCTTCTTTGACAGCCTTTCATGTCATGCTCAGATTCTTTTCCCCCAGGAACCTCTGGATATGGCTCTGGAAGCTTAAACTGGGGGTGATACCAGGAACTATGTTGCTGGAGATCCACAAGATGACAGCTGTGGGTCCATCGCCAGGAGCCCTGGGGTTTTCTGTTCTGAAGCATCTCTTCTGGCTTCTGATCTTTATCAGGGTGTCTTTCTGCACTGCTTACAGAGAGCCCAAGCCCTGCATCCCCTTCTCCGAGGTCCCCTGCTGCTTTGGGTCTCCCTAGGTTCTCTCTCTCTTCTGCCAGTGTGGGGATTTGGGCTGAGTCCTTGTCCTTGCCTGGGCTTTGAGGCTCACGGCTCCAGGGTTCCTCTGGGCTGGGGTTGTTTACACTGGCCTCCACCTGAACACAAAGCACCTCGGCCTCAGTCATTCCCATGCTGGGTTGTGAGATCTTAGACGGCCAGTGAGTAGAAGCAGGGGGCACTGCTTTGGAACTAGTTGGCTTTTGGTTGTGCTGCACCACCTTCAGCTGAGAGGCCAGGTGTTCTTTAAGGTGGACCCAGTCTGAATCTGGGGCAGGAGAGGAGTCTGGTGGGATGGGCAGTTTCTGGAGCACTGTGCTTCCTTGGTTGCTTAGACTATTAAGAGACACCTGTGAGGACTTGTCCTCTGGGCCAGCTGCAGTTAGTTTCTGGGACTCCCTTGACCTTATGGGAACTCCCAATTTTATCTCTAGGACCTTTTTTCTCAGGTGGAAGTTTATCTTGGACAAGATATGTGCCTTGGATGAGTAGGGGACAGCAGGATGTGTCTGGCTCTCCAGAGGCACCGACTCTCTTGTTCCTTCCACCTGCACCTCAGGTTGAAAATCTGCATTGTCTGCCCAAGTCTCGTTGTCATTTTGAAAGCATGGCCCAAGCCTCCTACTTGGCTCTTTTAGTGAGATATTCTGAGCTAGAGGCTCCTTTGGGGTTTCCATAGGCCCTGGCACCGTCTCTGTGGTTACAGATTGGCTAGGGATTGCTGGAGCCGTAGCCATAGAAAGAGCTACAGAGTAAAGAGCAGGCAGTCCTGACAGGAAGGCGAGATACTTGTGCTGTAAAGTCATCTCCAGTTTCTCCATGGTTCCTTGAGACAGGGCTCAGTGTAGCTTAGGGTGTTCAATGACAGTGACTGCTGAGACCTGTTTTTGCTGATCAATGGCCGTTGGCATCCAGGGCATAACTTTGTTATATAGGTGAGGGTCAGTTGCTGCCTGCAGCTCCAGGGGCTGGCCTTGTGGAATGCAGGGGAAGGGAGCCACTGCCAGGCCCCTAGGAACTGTGCCTTCCCAGGAGCTATAGACACAACAAGGGACCTTGCCCTGGTGGATCTGTCCACATTTGGAATCAATGTGGCTCTGCAATATTGCCTTGGTCTGGGTGAACAAGTGTGGCATGGGGATTGACATCTGGGCCAGTATGGGTGAGAATGGGTCACCATTCCCCTTGTCCTTTAGAGCCATAGGCTGGGGGTTACTCACATTGGGTAGGGTTGTGCTGCTGCAGGACAGGGTCTGCTGATCAGCAGAGGGAAGGAGCAACTGGAAGGACTGCTGGATCTTCTCGGGCAGGCCCCAGCGTAGGTGAATCAATTGCTTCTGGAAGTGAAATTCCAGCAGCCTGCGAGCATGCCCTGGGAAGAAGTGTAGTTTCCTGGAGACTGGCTTCCCTGGCCAGGACATTTTCCCAGTCTCAGAAGCCTTGGCTTTGTCCCATGGCTCAAACTGCAAGGGGTCGTGGGCATGGCGAGCTCTCTGGATGACAGCTGGCAGACCCCACTGAAGCTGGCACCATTTCTGCAGCAGGTGCCATTCCAAGATTTTACATTCAGCTAGAATCAGAAATGGGACATTAATAAGAGCTTGTTGCTGTTCAGCTGGAAACACACAATTTGGAGAAGGTGGAGAAGAGGGCAAGTTTATCTCAGGTGGTGTTTTTGGTAGCAAGGGGTGGAAAGAGAGGCCCTTGAATGGAGGAGAATCCTTCAGTGGGGGCTTGGATACATTCTTGTTCTTGGAGAGGCTTTCAGAGTTCAAGAAAGTGGCAGCCAGGGAGTCACTGTGCAGAGAGGGGAGGCCACAGAATAGCTGCCTGTATTTATGGTGCAGATTGTTCCCTGAGTCCTTAGCCTGTCCTTCAGATGTTAGATAGAGGCCTCTTAAGACTTCAACAGGTGGAGAGGACAAGGCTAGTGACTCATAGTTCTCGACTTGCTGGTAGTGTTGTCTTTGTTCTGGTTTTATAAGAGACCATTCAGAAACCCAGATAGACTGAATGGGCTCTCTGGTTGTGTGTGGACCCCAGGTGTATTGGGCATTGGTCCCAATTTTGTCACAAGTGACCTTAGAAGTACTATTCAGAATGGAGGAAAATTGTAGGTTTTTTCCAATTTTGCCAAACAATATTGGGTCTGGCATAAGCTGCTTCAGAGAATCTTCCACATGTCTGGGGAGACCCCCACCTCTGGAAATGCATCCATTTTTTCACATGTCCTTCAAGAAGCCTCAAAACTTTAGGTCTGAAGAGTGGCAGATGGGCAGGGAGGACTGAGTCCACATGAAAGGTCATAGGATGTGTCAGGTTAGTGAACTCTGAATTCAGTGACTTCAAGTGATAGTGGCCTTGGTTCCCCTCGATAAGGTTGGGTTTATTCTGCATCATCTCCTGATCATTTATTGAAACCATAGGTTCCTCAAGCTTTGAAGAAGCCCTACTTAGTTGAAATTCCTGCTCTAGCTGGAGATGATCAGCAAAGTATTCTTGGATACTGATGGCACTAGTTGTCTGGGCAACTGTCTGGGTTAAGTACTTTTGTTCTGTTTGTTGTGATAGCGTTGGGATTGCAGGTGTCAGTAAAAGGTCTCTGGAGAACTGAGGATGATGTTCCAGATTCTGCTCGGAAGACACCGTTGACAGGGACATCATCTGTAGGCAAGAAGAGCCTTGTGATGGCCCTGATAAAGTTGGGGACATCTGGTGGTTCTTATCCTCCAGCAGCTGCTGAATCTCTAGAGCCACGGCATTGCAGGTTTGGCAGGAAGGATCTGCACACAGGAGCTGCCGTACACTTTCCTTCTGGGGAAGCCAGTGCTGGCTGGGAAGGGAAATGTGGCAACTGTTAATGATTAGGAATATTTGCCTCCTGGAAGTGTGTGGTATGGGGATTGCTACTGCCCACCCTAAGTCCTGTAAGTCCTGAATCTACATTGTAGAAAATGAGGTCTTCATGAGAATTTTGCACTGTGAGAACTATGGGATGTTTTTGCTGCTATAATAGAATCTGTTGGAATTATGTCTTGTTCTCCAGAAACTTTAAGGAGAAGATGATAGGTTCCTGTAGGACAGTTTTCCCAGAAATGGGTCAGGAAAGGTAATGTGAGCAGGGCCCAGCTGGACCTGGGAGTCTGCCCTTGAAAGAGTATAGATTAAAGAGAATATGACAGTGAGGACTTTATGTAACGTCCATTCTCTTCACTAGATAACCTGTCTCATGGCTGAGTGAAAATCCAGTAGCATTTTCTAGGACTTGTGCATTAATCAAATCTTGAATTGCAGAGCTACTATGACCCTACCTAGCAAATCATAGAATTGGGTGACTTTTGCCTTCTGAGATGTCTGAACCCCCCTTGGCCCTGGCACCTTTCTTTTTCTTTTTTTTTTTTAGGTACCGGGGATCGAACTTGGGTCCTTGCGCTTGCGCAGCAGGTGGCGAAACCACTGAGCTAAATCCTTGGCCCCCTGGCACCTTTCTTAATCAGCGAATCAACCTCTTCAGTGTATGTCTCCCTCCCAGCCATTACCTCCTCTTTTTTGCCCAAGGCCGGGCCAGGCCAAAAAATCATCACAGTCCAGCCTGGGAATAGGGAGACTGCAAAGAGCAAGAGATCGCCTTTTCATGACTGAGAGCAGATCCCACGGCTTCTCTGCTTCTTTCTGGGAACATCTCCTAGCTGAGGAATCAGGACAGTGTGTAACATAGTATAGGAGTGTTTTCCAGGTATTCTGTAGGAAGCTAAATAGTAAAACCCTTTCCTAATAAGGCTGAAAACACAGAGTCAATGCTCTAAGGCATGTTTTTGTATATTAACATATGATGCCTTCACTATTTTCACTTGATCTTCATAACTACAAGTAAGTGAGGGAAGATTGTCAATGTTATGGCTATTTTATGAATAAAACTGAAAGATGAAGTGATTTCCACAGGGTCATAAAACTAGCAAATGACACAGTTAAGGACGTCTGCCTTACTCCCTCAATTCTTTTTTTTGGTACCGGGGATTGAACTCTGGTCCTTGCACTTGGGCAGCAGGTGGCGAAACCAGAGCTAAATCCCTGGCCTGACTCCCTCAATTCTTTAACCTCAGGGAAATAAGGTAGAGGATTTTGGAATGTTTCCGCCTTCTGATTTTCTATCTACCCAAGTCCTCCATGAAAGTCATCCATTTGGAGAACTGGAACTTTCACCAGTTACAGTACCTGGCTCCTGGTTCTCCTGGGACTAAGGGTCATACAGGGACATGAACAATGGGAAGCTCAACTACAGTGGAAGGGAGTAAGAGGAAAGATTGGGACTTTACCTGTTGATGCTGCATCTTTTCCCTTTTGCCTGACTTTTAGGTGACACTTAAAGAAAAAACAGAATGTGAAGCTGGGGTGCCATTTTTTCCATATCCAAAATGAAACAAGTTAACACATATTTCCCATTCCCATTCTATGTATTTGTCTGCATTTTATATACTCTCCCACATTTCTTTTACCTATATCCCACTTTTCATCCCAGAGTTTCCCTTCTATGCCTATTTCTCATTCACTTTGAGGCTCTCCATTCTTCTTATCCCCATCCTTATCACAAGTTCTGCAGGGAGCTTAGAAAGGTGAAAAAGTAGAAGAGATTAAAGAATGAGTGTTTCTGTCAACACAAGGACTTAAGTTTACAAAGTTCACCAACTAGAAAAATCCCCTATATTGTAAGGTCTTCTGAGATCTCTAAGGTATACTTTATATCATCTTGTTTTCAACCCAAACCAAATATAGCAGTTCTTGGTTTCTACAAAGGTAAATGAAGGTGTAGTATATAAAAAGAGGGTGAGTGAGTAATATGGAGAAACACAGAATTTAAAATCTTATCTGAGGGCCAGGGATTTAGCTCAGTGGTTTTGCTGCCTGCTGCGCAAGCTCAAGGACCTGAGTTCGATCCCTGGTACCAAAAAAAAAAAGCTTATCTGAGGCTTAAACTAATTCAGTTGTGGTCATGGTGTTTCCCTACCCAAGAGCAGCTCCTTTTAGGTTCAGATCTCAATCCATGGTAACTCCATTTCACTTGCCAGATAAGTAGGATAATGATGAAGATGGAGCCACAGGTATATAAGGAGTATACATTATTCCATAGAACAAATGTAGGGCTCAACATGGTCTAAACCTCATTAGCCTGAGGAGCCCAACCATCCCTACATGTAGGCATTCAAGGTTCTAGTGACTAATGACTCCAAGTGCTAGGCCTTGTCATGTCCACCTCACAGAGGACAGAACCAGAATACCAGACTGCATCACAATGCCCTTCTGTTCCCTAAGAGAAGCTCATGTGGTGATGCAGTCTCTAGATGAGAGTGTCTGGTCATCTGTAAAAGTTACATAACCTAGGTCTAAAGGTGCTCCACTCACAAACAGAATCTGTTTCCCACTTTCTCTTCACTGCCTACACCGGCCTGTTGGCTCAGTTATATCCTTCACAATTATCTGGTCACCAATCCTCAGAAACTGAATGCTTTGGCACCTGGGGAGAATTTTGACCCCTTGTGAAAATGAGTGGATGGGACAGAGGAACCTCTACCAACTCCCTTACTTGTCTTGGAAATATATTTGTGAAGCCCAGAGGAGTTAGGGAGGTTGGAGTGTGGTCATGCTTTAAAAAGGAGAGCTTGGATGTTTCAGGCAATGAGTTATAAAAAATTAGAAGTACAAGAAGGGGAGGGAAGATCTAGTGGCTATATCTTTCTTTAAACAACATTGTTGCAGCCTGCCTCACAAGCACAAGGTCCAGAGTTCAATCCCTGGTACCAAAAAATAAAAAACAAACAAAATTTATCTTCAATCTTACACTTGTGGATATTAAATTGTTTATACGTACCAAATAATACTGATGAGAACCTTGTTGTATAAGTCCTTGCCCACAGGTTTAAGTATATATGTAGGAGAAGTTCCTAAAAGTTAAATTGACAGATCAAAGGAATATATTATAAATGTTATTATTGCTAATTGCCTACCAATTGTACAAATTTCCATTTTCAACAGAACCATGTAATGATGTCTCTTGCCAGGCATAGTGGTGCATGCCTGTAACCCCAGCTACTCAGGTAGGATCACAAATTCACTTAGTGAGACCCTGTCTTAAAATAAAAAGGGCTGGGGATGTAGCGCAGTGGTTGTCTAGCATGTGCAAGGCCCTGGGCTCAATCTCCAGTACTGGAAAAAAAAGGCCTCTCACTGTGTAGTTCAGGCTGGGCTTGAACTCACGATGAGCCCACGCTAGCCTTTAACTCAGATCCTCCTGCCTCAGCCTCCCAAATGCTGGGATTATAGAACCTGCCACCACAACTGGATAAAACCTCTTTTCATACTTGCTGACTCAAAATTATCACATTTAAAATTTTTGTCAATCCAAGAGGTGAAAAATAGAATTTTATACATTCATAAATTTGGCTAATTACCTACAAAGATACCTTGGTATGTTTATGTCCTTTTATGTGAAATATCTCTTCCTATCCTTTGCCTGCAGTAAAGGCAAAACATTTATTGGACAAACATCACTTAGCTGATTTATAAGCACCTTTCAATATTAAGAAAATTAGCTATTTGCTTATGTATTTCAGATATTTTCCTCAGTTTGTCATTTGGTATTTATCAATGATGAGTTTTTGTCACACAGAAATGTTTGCACTTTATGTAGTTACATTTATTAGTCCTTTAATTTATGGCTTCTGTGTTTTAAATCACACTTACAAAGGCTCCCCACATCTTGAAGTTATAAAAAAAGGTCCTCTATAATTCTTCAGGTATATATGGTTTCATTTTTTTTTTATAATTTTGCCCATTTAGACTTTATTTTTTTTTAATTGTCTTTTATTTATTTATTTATTTTTTAGACAGGGTCTTGATTGGCAGTTCATATCGGCCTTGAACTCACTATGTAGCCCAGGCTGGACTCAAACTCATGATGATTCTTCTGCCTCAGCCTCCTGAGTGCTGGGATTACAGGAGTGTCCCACCATGCCCACCTAGACTTTATTTTGAGCAATGAATGAAGTTTGTATTAGTTAAGAATTGCATTTAAGTACATGAAACAGAAATTCAACTAGAAAATAGTTTCTTAGAAGCTCCGGGATTCCACTTAGGACAAAAAGAAAGCTGTAAATAACTTTGGTTTTACTCTTCTAACAATGAACAATCACAAGACTCTGCAAATGTACACATTTTCCTGAATTCTTCAGGGAGCTGAGGTTCTAGGGGAACTCAGTTAACTCTAATTTAAGGAAAGACAGCTGCCTCCAAGGAGGTGTACACTTGCTTATTTGGGGGTGGCTCTCTTCCCATCTGCATCAAGCTAACAAGAGTCTTTAAAAAAAATTTTTTTGGTACCAGGATTGAACTTGGGACCTTGCGCTTGTGAGGCAGGTGGCAAAACCACTGATAAAATTTTGATTTGTACATATTTATGGGGTAAAGTGTGATATTTTAATATATATGATATGTGCTAATCAGATCAGGGTAATTAATGTCTGCATCTCCTTATCATTACTTCATGTTGGAGCCCCTGAGCTCCTTTCTTGTAGCTGTTGATAAAATAGCTAAAAGTTTTAATGAATTGCTAAAGGTCAAATGTCGTAGGCCAGTATGAGAGCACAGAAGCTCTGGTACCCACAAATACAAGGGGAATTCACTTTCACTTGCAGGCTCTTCTCCATAGGCCTTACTGTGTGTTCATAAGAAGCACCAAGAACAGTGGGGAAATCCTGAGAAAATCTCCCTTGTGAAATTGGCCAGGGGGACAGGAAGAACAGCTGCTTCAGGGAAAGGCACTAAGCCCTTCCCAGATCCTTCCCCTATCTTCTCTATGGGAACAAAAACCTTCAGCTGCTGGATGAAAGGCAGTAAATCCTGTCACTGGGGAGTAAATCATGATTGGTGAAGATTCATTACATCCCAAAAACAAAACAGAAAAACCCTCCGCCCATCTAGCCCTAGACAGTTAGAAGTCTCTGGCTGAGGGTGAGGCAGGATCATGGGGAAGATTCTATCCCTGAGACCCAGGGGTATGGTTTTCTGATGATGAGTCACCTCTCACCTGGCAATGCTACCACTGCCAACAACCAGGCTAATAAGTATTGAATGACAAGTAACAGCAGTCTACTTCTAGAGCATGGAGAAAGATCCTTTCAATAGCACAAGGAGAACATGTAAACCAAGGGTGGAACAGACATTAAGAAAACTTTTGGCAAGCCCACTTGAATCATAAATGTAAAGTAACAGAGAAACTTGGAGTCTGCAGTTCCCTGACAGGAATATAGCAAGAACAAAACCCAAACAGAGCTCCTTACTAGATCGAATCAGTCTCAAACACTAAAGGCCCAGGAGAAGGAGAGGGTTGCCCATCTTCAAGCATACAAGCCACTTAAATCAGTCTCTAATGCCTAACAATAGATGCTCATCTTTTGACAAAATATTATTTTGAGGCAGCCCTTCTGATCAGATGGATAATTTTGACAGAGAGAGGGAAACCCAAAGAAAGAATCACATGCAAATTCTAGAAATAGAAAACATGGTAATAGATATACAAGTTGCTTTTTTTCAGGTTCATCAGTATCTTGACACAGTAGAAGAAAGAATCAGTGAAACTGAAGCTAGTTCAATAGAAATTATTCATACGGAAACACAAATATGAAATTGAAAAAAATAGAAACAAAAGCAAACCAGAACAGAGCATTTAAGAGCCATGACATAACACCAAACAGTCTGACATATATGCAATTGGCACCTTCAAGGCAGAAGAGAGAGGCCATGAAACAAAAGAAATATTAGAAGAAATAACTGCTGAGAATTTAAAAAAATTAATGACAAATACTGAACCAAAAATCTAAAAAGCACACAACTTTGGTGATTTGCTACTAAATAACATCATGTTAAAATTTTCATATGTTTTCTCTGATGAAAAACAAGGACAATTTAACTTTAGAATATGCCCTTTTTATTCACTTTCATTCAACAGATGTTTTGCTGTATGAGGGAGGGAGAACTCAATTAGAGCATATAAGCTGGAAATAAACCAAATACACTGCACCCAAATACACTGAGTTTTTGAATAGCAGTTGTCATATATATCAGGACAGGAGAAAGGTTGAGAGCTGCTGCTCTAAAGAACAAATTTTGCCAAAATCAGGTAATCTTTGGTGCAGGGAATTCTCAGTAGATGGACTTGGCAAGATTTGTTTTTACCCAGGTCCATGATGTACTCATTAATCACCTGCACCACCAGCCAGACAGGAGTTGAATGGGAAACCAGGGGTTACTTATAGCTTGATAGGAATTCATTAGCAGAGGCAAGAAGAGACAAGGTCACCTCCTAAATGACAGGCTTGAGCAGAAGCTGGTAGTGTTGCTGGTATGGATGTTAATGGAGCTTGGTGGGTATAGTGAGCACAGAGAAGTAGAGGAGGGATTACAGCAAGGAGCAGCCAGCTGTCAGACTATCCTCCACAATCCAAAGCAGAGGTGAAGTCAGGAAGGAGTTGTAGCTGAATATCAGGTCTCCTCAGCCGGGTTATTGTTAATACTGATCAGACCTCCCCCTCCTATGCCCCTATACCTGATCTCTTGGATTTATAGCTCCACTAGCCAAGAGGACCACCAGGGAGGACTACTCTGTTCTCCACCCATCAGTCAGCTTCACTTTATGGGTCAGCTGGTTCACAAGAATGTAAGAAGTAGGTCTTTTCTTGGGAGAACAAAAAACAAACAACAGCAACAACAACAACAAAGCAGAGAAAGGAAAAAAGAAAATAATTTTTTTGGGAGGAAGATATATTTATAATAAGAAATCACTGAGTTAAAATACTGATTAGAATAAGGTTATGGGAAAAATCAACATGTGAAATTATTTGAGAACCACAAGTATAGCCATATAAAAAGGTACCCCTAAGAAAAAGATCAGGGAGTAATGTTGTGAGTATATTTTTTCCATTTTTCTGAATATGATACTGAACATCTGTAGTTTTAAAAGAGCATTTCAAAAGTAACAAGGGATCTTCCAATGCAGTGACAGGGTAAATTTATTCAGATCACTCTTTCTGCTCAGAACTACTAGAAAAGATTGACAAAATATATTTTTAAAAAAATCTGTTGGAATGCATTATATAACTACCAAACCATTGAGCAAGTATGGGGTTAAGGCTTAGGTGAGAAGGGAAG